CACGTTTGTGCGGTGTAACGTTGTTGTTTTGTGTAGAAAATTTAAACCCTAAATCCGAACCCGACAAAAAACCCTAATCAAAAAATTTAAAAACCCAAACTTTTTTAATAGGTCTAAACATGAAAATCCGAAATCAAAAAAATCCCGAAAACCCTGACTGAACAAAAAAAATCTGGAAACTTTTTCACCCGGAACCCGACCCCAATACCTAATCAAAATTTTAAAATACTCAATTTTTTTAATATATCTAAACCCGAAAACCAGAAATCTAAAAAATCCGGAAAACCCTAAACTGAAAAAAAAAATTGAACCTAACCCGAACAGAAATTTTCAAAGAAACCCGAACAATTTCTATATCTCTATAAAATTATGTCTCAGATTTTCACCCAAACCCGAACTTGTCTATAAAAACCCGAAAATCCAAAAAGCATATTCTATTGATTTGGAATTATCGTTAGATTATGTTAAGTTTTCTTTTTTTGCAGATTTTTAAGAGATGGAAAACGGAAGTTTTCTAAACCATCGGTTTATTTTAAGTTATTATTCTTGTATCCAAACAATTTTTTCCATTTATTCTTCTATCCAAATAGATTTTTCTCTTATTCTTATATCCAAACAACTTTTGTTTCCATTTATTCTTCTATCCAAATAGATGTTTCTCTAATTCTTGTATCCAAACATTAGAATGTACTTCTCAATTAATAATATAAGATGTGGTTTTTATGCCCAAGAGGTAGTTTTCTTGTATATTCTGGTTTTGAGCATCATTCAGGTCAAAATAGCAAAGAAGAGTCAAAATGGAGCAAAAAGAGTCAAATCACCAAGTTCCCAAGTCTAGAGCACCAAATCTACATTTCTCGCTAAAGACCAAACCGGAGCATCCGAAGTACGACCGCATATTCATGCCTTCCCGACGTCCAAAAGTCATGTTTCTTATATGGAAAGATAGATATTTGAGTCATGACCCGCGGCGAAGTGGAAAGAGGTCATTTGGATCACTCGTTGGACCGGAACTTATTTTCTACCAAGACATGTCCGACGAGCGCCTAAGTAGAGCCCATGGAGACTTTGATGGATCAAGAGGCCCGAGATACCGCGCCCAAGGCCTTGGCTCATCTTGACACTAGCATAACTCAATCCAGAAGCTTCCATTGGCCTGAACGCGGCCCATTCAAGAACTTGGAGAGCAAGCTCAAGCGGCTAAAGAGAAATGGAAACTTTCCTCTTCTGCGCGCGCTCAACTTTGCCGACCTAGACCCGCTCTCTACCTATATATACTTGCTTTTAGCCTCTTGTAATAAGAATCACCAGCCGCATAACAAGAAACACTTATTCAATAAAGTTCGGAGCCACTTAGGTGGTCTCCTTCTTCTTTCTTTTCTTCTTTTGCATTTGTATATAGCTTGCATGTTTCAATTTATATAGTCTAGAAGTAGAGATTTCTCCCTAAGGGTGAGGCGGTTTAGTCTATATTCCGCCGCCTCTCTCTCTAAGGATTCATGAGACTTCATCTACTATCTAAGACTCATTGTTGAATTATGGATCCTTCCAATGAGGACGTGATATAATGGCCATCTTGAATCGATTGTTAAAAGGGGAAACCCTATGGTTCTCCATCTTTATTTATGCTTAATGCTTGTTGCTAGAGTAGCTAACTAGTGACTTGATTTTAGGTTGATATACTCTCCAAAAGCTTGTTATATCTCCGGACACAATATTTGATGGGCAAATCGTTTTAGGCTACGAAAGTAGACCTAAAGAGTTTTGTGAACAATCATTACTTGGATGTAATGCATGTCTCACTCTACAATGACCAACGAAAGCTGAGCCCATTGGTTTAAGAGACATAGGGGATTGGAACCACGAAAGTGGAATAATCCTTCCTTAGTGTTTTGAGTTCAAAAGAATCGGATTTTAACAAACTTTTCAATCGACTTGGCTCATGTTTTCAAAAGAGTTTTCAATAGTTCAATAATGTTGCTTGTATAGAATTGCATTGTTATTTCTTTTGCGTGTTCTAAACAAACACAAACCCTTGCATCTTTTGATTTAGCTTAGTCATTTAAACTCTATGATTATGTAATGTGTGAAATCCAATCCCTTGTGGTTCGACCCCTAAATACTACAATTATATGTTGTGCACTTGCAACACTAGTTGTCTTAGGGAATTATTACTTGTACTCATCCCATAGATGCAGCGCATCAAGTTTTTGGCGCCGTTGCCGGGGATTGCATCATAAACACTTGCATAGTCTTGTTTAAAACTAAGTCTAGATCTTGGTATTTTCGAATACTAACTTTTTCTTTTAAATCTTGTGTTTATAGGTACTTGGAGATGAATCACAACACCAACATCCACTTTGGGAACCGGACACTGATCCCACACGATCTCCACGGCCGGAGTTACCAAGACCCAGCCGTAAGCATCGTGCCACATCCGTTCCCTCCCAACCGCGCTCATCCGACGTTTGAAGGACCTAGCCGAGACGAGCATCATTACCATCATCATCAAAACCGACCTCCGGTTTATCATCAACCACCTAGACCAGTGTTGCATTCACACCACGACCATGTTCTCAATAGGCGGAGAGATAGCCATTTCGATGCCGTGCTTGAGGGTTTCATGGAGAGCCAAAGAAGAACTAGCCGCGACATTGAGACAAAGCTAGAGTTCACGCGATACGAACTAGATGGAAGACTTGGAGAACTCTCTACCCAAATAGAGAGAGTAGAGTCAAGATGCTTGGACATGGAGGAAGATTTGAAGAAGCAAGGCGAGGCCATTGAAGACAATAGGAGAGCGATACACTTTACCAAAGTTTCTACCAAGGAGATGGATAATCACTTAGATGAGAAGATCTCAAGTCTTGATAACAACCTCGATGGCACCACCAAGAGTCTCAATTCAATAACAGCAGTAGCTCATCAAGCTAAGAGGGAGGTAGCCGAAGTGACACTAAAGGAGAGGCAATGTTACTCGACAATGCTTACATTGGTGGAAGGGCAAAAACAAGTGAAGGCACAAATCCGAGATTTACACATCTCTCTAGACAAGAGGAGCCAAGATATTCAAAGAAGAGCTAGAGGGCTTGAAGACAAAGTAGATGGAGTCTCCAAGGAAGTCAAGGATTTAACCACTCGCTTAGCCAACTTGGAAGAGAAGGTCTTGACCGAGACAAAGACGACCGTTCCTAAGCAAAACTATGCCGCGCCCGTCTTTACTATAAGAGAGACCGACCCAAGAGTGATTTGGGATGAAGAAGAAAGTAGAGCTGATCAAGAAAGAGCCACAAGCTAACCACTGGAACAAGAGAAGATAGCACCAAAAGGAAGAACCCTTACTCAAAGATCTTCACAACCGCCTCCCACCAAGGAGAAGAGGAAGATAAGATCATCACTTGAAGAGATCATAGATGATTTCAACTTTATGGCGAGGAGATTCCCTTATGGTGTGCCGTTTGATAATGCTTGCAACAAGAGTCCATTCATGCAAGACCTAGCTTGGACACTGATATACCTCTATTTTACCTACTTTTTATGCTATTTTACTATGGTTTTCTAATGGTTTTCTAGTGGATTCTTGTGTTAAAAGGTAGTTTTTATGGATTTATAGTGCAAAGAGTCATTTTAGGTAAAAAGGTGCATTATGGAGCAAAACAGGAGATTTGGACTCTAAACCAGTTCAATGCCCCTGCATCAACTTTGGATGGAGCTAGAAAAAGATCTACTCAATGGATTTCATCAAGACCAGTTCCCTGCGTGCTCTGATTGAGTTAACTTTCCAACGCAACTGGAATGGCCATTTGGATGAGTAGAAAAGGAGTTATAGCCAAAAGAGTGAAGGCTGCTCCAGACGCCATATCGAGAATCAGCGCCAACGCGCAGACCGGCTGGCCGAGGAACGAATGTTCCGCGCTCGGCCAAAACCGTCCGTCCGACTGAAGTCTCGGCCAAAGTTCAAAACCGTCGGCCGATCACGCATCACGACCCGGGAAACTAAGCCCGCGGTCGGCCACGCCACGCCACACCGCGCACGACCAACCGCGCGAGCCGGGAAACGCCTCGCGGCCGCGCAACTCATCACGTACCACGGCCGACGCCGTCCGACCGGGAAACTATGCCCGCGTCCGGCCGAGAAACCATCGGCCAATTTCACCGTCCGACCACAGCCGGCCGACCGATCATCCGGCCCCGACCGTTCCGACTCGGCCAAAGACCCGACTGTCCGGCCGACCGTCCCGACGACCGTCCGAACGCCGCGGTCGACCCGAAGCCGTTTTTGAAGCCCAATCCGCACAATTCAAGCCCAAAGCCGGCGCCGACCTAGCTAGATTAGGTTTAGCCGCTTTCATACTTAGTGCATTATAAATACTTCTTTTTAGCCTTGTAACTCAAGAAGGAGAGAGACCACAATCTATTTTACATCTTTAATAAAGTTTTGCTTGCTTTTACTTTGTTCTTGCTTGTTACTCTTTCTAGAGAGGATTCGAATCTCTGTTCTTATGAATATGAATTCGTTTCCTTCTCTATGTCTGAGTAGTTTACTTGTTAAGTGATAGGAAGTCAAAGGATAGCATTCATGTATGCTTGATGATTGATCACAATTAGGGTTTTACTTATAATCTCCATCTTTGCTTATACTTAATGCTTGTTGTTAATCTGGCCAATTAGCATATGCCTTTAGGTTGATTTGAGCCTCGACAGTGCTGTATCATTCGCCTGAACTAGTATTTGGTGGGCAATCTCTTTTAGACTGCGAAAGTTGATCTACTTGTAGGTTGTGAACAATTGATCTTGATCGAACTAATGCTTGATTTAATCACCTAGGGACATACCAAAAGTTTAGCGACTAGGTAGATTAACAAAGGGGTCGGAGCCTCGACAGTGGAATGATCATACCATAGTGTTTCAAGTTCTAGATTAGCACCTAAGTGCGGTAACCCTAATTGATTGATTTCATGCTTCTTGAATTGCTTATCTCAAGACTATCCTATTGCTTAGCCCTTTCTCTCCTATTGAATCTTACTTTTAATTACTTGCATGCTTTACTTTCTCTGCACTCAACCAACTTATACTTTTGCCCTAGCTTGTTCTCAAACTCATAACTTGTAGTGTGCAATCTGGTCCTCGTGTTCGATACCCGTTTACTACTTCTGACCTGTGCACTTGCAGAATCAGGGATAGGAAAGGGAAGACCTGATCCCGCGATCAAGTTTTTGGCGCCGTTGCCGGGGACCAATTCGCACCTACAAGCTCTTGCAAGAGAGCTAGTCTAGGGTTTTTCTTTTCCTTTTTAGTTTTTGTTATTTTTCCTTTTTTCTTTGATTTGTTTTTCGTTTTTCCTTTTTGTTTTTGAGCTTTTCAGGTTTTCCTAGTTAGATATGGAGAAGGAGCCACAAGCCTCTCCTATAAAGGCGATGCCACTTCGCCACATACCACCTCAAAGACCTCTTGAGCGAACAAGAGATGTCAAGCCCTCAAGCACCACCACCTTCATGGGATAGTCCTCCAAGACTATCCCCTTGAAGACAAAGAAGAAACTTCTTCCCTACCTTGAAGCAGCCGACCTGGAGACGTCTAGCCAAGCCGCATCACACCAAGAAGAACACCTTCTAGCCACACCAGAAGAGGAGATTGAACCCTGAGCTGATCGAGTTCGTGAAGAGAGATCAATTCCATGATCTGTTTTCAGAGTATGCGCTGGAGCACATAGATCACTTTGACAATCTTTGTGATTCCTATGGAGTTTTTGACTTTGAGAAGAAGATGATGCTATTCAGCACATCACTAGCTGGACCAGCACTAGATTGGGCGCAGCATGAGCCACTCTCTACAATCGAGTCATGGATCGATTTTAGAGAAGCTTTCTTGAAGAGATTTGCAAGGACCACCTTTCAAATCCAAGTACACCACTACTCTCATCAGCTGGAGAGAGAGCGTGATGAAGAAGAATGGGGAGGCATACCACCTCATCCTGAAGTCTGAATGAAGAGCTAATCAAGCATGTGGAGAGGAATCCTTTCTACAATTCTACTTCAGAATGTGCAAAGGAGCATCTATGCAACTTTGAGCAGCTTTGCATGACTATGGACTTGGAGACAACCCCAAGAAGATACAACTTTTCCAACTATCTCTAGCTGGACAAGCCAAAGAATGGGCTAAGTTCAATGCCCAACATGCTTTCAAGACTTGGAATGGATACAAAGGAGCTTTCCTTACAGATTTGCCAAAGGTCCTTTTATGTCCCACCACCACGCCCAAGCTATTCACAACCATCCATCATCACCAGACATAAACAAGACACCACTTTTCCCAAGGGAGAGCTATCAAGCTGCGCGCCAAACCAAGATTGAAGATATGCTTCAAGAGTACTTGAGAAATCAAGAAGAGAGTACAAAGAAGATGGAGAGAAGAATCGATTTCATCCATGAGAGCCTTGGAAACAAATCTGAAGTCCTATTCAAGCAAGTGATCAAGCTTGATGAAGACATTAAGAAGTTAAGAGAGGATCATGATCGATCTCTGACCCTAGTTAAGCTTGATGTTGCTTCCAAATATCAAGAGTTGCTGAACAAGAGCATGAGAATTGAAGATACTAGCTATGGCAATAGCAAACATCTTGGATCATCTACAACCGCCTACAAGCCCTTGAAGGATCATCTCATGCCAATTACAAGAGAGAGAGGAGTCCAACACCCAACCACCCTCCCTTTTATTGCAATGCCATCACAAGAAGAAGCACTACTCAAGTCCATGAGGACAATGAAGAAGAAGAAAGAGAGTATGAGGAACAATTGAATGATGAAGATGAAGAGCAGAGCATCGACATCAATGCTTCCCCAAAACAGAGCAAGGATACACCAGCCCTAGAGACCCTCGTTTCTCACCAAGAAGTCAAGCTTCTACACTTCCAAGATTGGAAGCAATGCAAAGACCATCACCACCTACTGAAGAAGAAGATACTTGGCATATGATCCCATTGATCCCAACAAGATAAGCCCCATGAAGCTTAAAGAGTTCAATGCTAAGGTGAAATCACTTCCATTCTATGTCACTTTTGAAGAAGCTTGGGATAAACATGGTCTAGTGGAGTTCTTTTTCACAACTAGTGAAAACAAAGAAGAGATACACCAACTTTTCAGAAGGCACGATTTCCCATTGCCCCTCATGCAGTCAATCAACCACCATCACCACCATCATCACCACCACCTCAAGTGGTATGTCAATTCCATATCAAGAGAGAAGCTTGCTGAGTTCAATCAGTTTGTCCAAACTCTTCCAGCCAGCATGTCTTTCAAAAGCTTGGCGCCACTACCCATTCACCACCTTCTTCCACAACTGCAAGAGACACCTGAGGACATCAAAGAGCTTTTTGAGAAAGCTAAAGTTCAGCCAACCTTCAAGACCCTCTACAAGATTGAAGACCCAGGTCAATTCTCTATTCCCTGTCAAGTAAATGGTCATTACTTTGATAGAACACTATGCGATTCTGGCTCTTGCATAAACCTCATGCCAACCCAAACCGCCAAACTCCTTGGCATCACACGCTTGCAACCTGCTCAAATTAGTATTGGACTTGCTAACCATACTATAGCCAAGCCAAGAGGAGTTGTTGTTGATGTTCTTCTAGAGATTGGAGATATCAAGATCCCGGTGGACTTTCATGTCATGAACATCAAGGAGGATGTGACACACCATTGATACTAGGCCGACCCTTTTTGGCCACTGCTGGAGCTGTCATGGACCTTCCAAACAGGCGAATGTCCTTAGCCAATGTTGACAAGACAGTCTTTTACAAGACCATACCATTCATCTCACCAAACAAGCTGTCTTACTTCATCACTGCCCAAGGCCGCCCAAGAGAGCCACCAGACCACACTCAAGGTCACAATGAGACAAGAACTAAAAGACTATGTCTCAGGCCGTGCCCTTACCCCATCTCCAACTAAGAGATCCTATCAGTCAAGCTAATGACTCAAAAGAAGCGCTGCATGGGAGGCAACCCATGAAAGGTGTTTTTCTTTACTTTTCTTTTCAATTAGTTTTAGTTAATGTCTAGTTTTGTTTTGAGTTTTGGAAACAGGAATCTAAGAACCACACAATGGTAAAGAAGATATACCACAAGAAGAATGTTCATAGTTGGCGCGACTTAGATGGCCGAGCAGAACCTCTCCACGCTCGCCCATGTCCTCTCAAGCCGCCCAACACACCATCCCATCTCATTCCATCTGCATCTCACCCATCCCACCTCACCACACTTGCATTCCATCACTACCATCATTCCACTGCATTCACCATTCTTCAAGTAACACAAATCAGGTTACATCTTTCTTTTTACATTCACAACCACTTTATTACCTCTTTCTTTAACTCCCTTAATTGGATTTTCTTTCACCGGGACGGTGCAAGTTAAGTCTGGGGGGATTGTCGGTACTAATGTGTTTGTTCATGGTTGTTTTGATCTTATAATTGGTTTTTCCTAACCCACTTTTTCAAAACTTCTGTTTTATTGAGTCAAAACCAGTCCGGAACAATGAACTTGCTTTGAGATTTGATAGTGTATGCTAACAATCTATGACCCTAGAGCAACATCAGCTGAAGGCACAAGCCTAACAGAAGCTCCTACAGTGGATCAGCATGCTAGCTCAGCGAAATTTCTAAGGTAACCAAGCAATCTAGAGTTAACCTCACCCTTAATCAATCTTAATAACTCTTGTCAAGGGGATTGGCATACATGTCGACAGTTCCTTGCTTGATTTTCAATGAGATTTGTCTAAAGAGTTCTCCTCTCTCTCCCATCCCAAATGGTAAGTAATGTTTATGAGAAAAGCTCAAAGAGCACAAGGAAAACAAGTAAGCATGAGGAATGCATATGTCTGTACCTTCATGTCTTATGGAATACCTTATCAAACAAGGAACAAGCTAAAGACTTATCCTGTGGTTGATAAGAAAAAGGGAGAAATTGACCTTTCAAAGTTCTGATGTGAGAGGAAAGGAACTCATTGCACTCAAAGACAATCTTGGAGAAGATCAAGTGGGTAAGAACAAGTTCAATTGATCGATTTTCCCTTGATAAAGAACTCACGCTTTAAATTTCTGCAAGAGGTTAACAATAGAGAGTTTGGATTGCTGGATGAGACTAGTTGGGTTGGTATGTTGCTAAACTTGCAGGGTGTATGTGAAGCTAACCTTATGTTGACTATGTTCTTAGTGGAATACAGGAAAGGAACCTTTCACAGGATTTTCAAAGAAGCAAGAGAGTTCCCACGTTTTTCAAAACCTCTTCACTAGTTTAGATTCTTTTTGCTTGGGGACAAGCAAAGATCTAAGTCTGGGGGAGTTGATATACCTCTATTTTACCTACTTTTTATGCTATTTTACTATGGTTTTCTAATGGTTTTCTAGTGGATTCTTGTGTTAAAAGGTAGTTTTTATGGATTTATAGTGCAAAGAGTCATTTTAGGTAAAAAGGTGCATTATGGAGCAAAACAGGAGATTTGGACTCTAAACCAGTTCAATGCCCCTGCATCAACTTTGGATGGAGCTAGAAAAAGATCTACTCAATGGATTTCATCAAGACCAGTTCCCTGCGTGCTCTGATTGAGTTAACTTTCCAACGCAACTGGAATGGCTTCATTTGGATGAGTAGAAAAGGAGTTATAGCCAAAAGAGTGAAGGCTGCTCCAGACGGCCATATCGAGAATCAGCGCCGAACCGCGCAGTCCGGCTGGCCGAGGAACGATGTTCCGCGCTCGGCCAAAACCGTATCCGTCCGACTGATGTCTCGGCCAAAGTCCAACGTCGGCCGCGCGCAGTCACGACCCGGGAAACATTGCCCGCGGTCGGCCACGCCACGCCACGACCGCGCACGACCAACCGCGCGAGCCGGGAGTAACGCCTCGCGGCCGCGCAACTCACGCGTACCACGCCGATGCGCCGTCCGAGCCGGGAAACTACGTCCCGCGTCCGGCCGAGATTTCATCGGCCAATTTCACCCGTCCGACCACAGCCGGCCGACCGCATCATCCGGCCCCGACCGTTCCGACTCGGCCAAAGACCCGACTGTCCGGCCGACCGTCCCGACGACCGTCCGAACGCCGCGGTCGACCCGAAGCCGTTTTTGAAGCCCAATCCGCACAATTCAAGCCCAAAGCCGGCGCCGACCTAGCTAGATTAGGTTTAGCCGCCTTTCATACTTAGAGCATTATAAATACTTCTTTTTAGCCTTGTAACTCAAGAAGGAGAGAGACCACAATCTATTTTACATCTTAATAAAGTTTTGCTTGCTTTTACTTTGTTCTTGCTTGTTACTCTTTCTAGAGAGGATTCGAATCTCTGTTCTTATGAATATGAATTTGTTTCCTTCTCTATGTCTGAGTAGTTTACTTGTTAAGTGATAGGAAGTCAAAGGATAGCATTCATGATGCTTGATGATTGATCACAATTAGGGTTTTACTTATAATCTCCATCTTTGCTTATACTTAATGCTTGTTGTTAATCTGGCCAATTAGCATATGCCTTTAGGTTGATTTGAGCCTCGACAGTGCTGTATCATTCGCCTGAACTAGTATTTGGTGGGCAATCTCTTTTAGACTGCGACAGTTGATCTACTTGTAGGTTGTGAACAATTGATCTTATCGAACTAATGCTTGATTTAATCACCTAGGGACATACCAAAAGTTTAGCGACTAGGTAGATTAACAAAGGGGTCGGAGCCTCGACAGTGGAATGATCATACCATAGTGTTTCAAGTTCTAGATTAGCACCTAAGTGCGGTAACCCTAATTGATTGATTTCATGCTTCTTGAATTGCTTATCTCAAGACTATCCTATTGCTTAGCCTTTCTCTCCTATTGAATCTTCACTTTTAATTACTTGCATGCTTTACTTTCTCTGCACTCAACCAACTTATACTTTTGCCCTAGCTTGTCTCAAACTCATACTTGTAGTGTGCAATCTGGTCCTTGTGTTCGATACCCGTTTACTACTTCTGACCTGTGCACTTGCAGAATCAGGGATAGGAAAGGGAAGACCTGATCCCGCGATCAGACACAAGATTGGAGTCTAGCTGAATTGGAAAAGATGTACGAGGAAGCAAGGAAGGGGATGCCTAAACCTAGGTTTCTACACAAGCTTCATGACCCAAGTTACTTCCTTATACATTTCTCTATCAATGGAAGCTACTTTGATGATGCTCTTTGCGATTCCGGTTCTAGTGTGAACCTTATGCCGGCCGAGATAGCCAAGAAGTGGGGATTGATCAATTCAATTGTGAAATCTCTAATGGATTTAAAGCTAGCTGATTCATCATTGACCGAACCACTTGGAGAGGTTAAAGACATTCAGCTTGATTTTGGAGGCTGCATAGTTCCAGCCAACTTCTATGTAGTAACCATGAAGGATCCTGAGGACTTAAAGCTTTTGCTTGGAAGATCATTCCTAGCCACAGCTGGAGCGATCATGGATTGGCCTAATAGAAGAATCTCTCTAGCCAATGTTGACAAGGACACCTTCTACGATGCTGCACCTCCCGGTTTCTCATCCAAGCGATTTCGCTACACAAGTGGAGGAGAGTGCTCACAAGTAAGAGGAGAGTCGCATGGCTACTTGATCAAGGAAGTTCTACAGGACAAGATGCACTTGGAATCATCAGGCAACAGGAAATTCTTGGAGCCACCAATCCTACCTAACTAAGAACACAAAGGAGTCGAGCTACAAAGACTTAAAACAAGCGCTTGTGGGAGGCAACCCACATTTTCTTATCCCTTCCTATTTTTAATTTTAATTTATTTTAAACTATTTACTTGTTCTATTTGTTGCTCTTGAATTCTTTTTAAGAGTTTAATAAATTTTGCAAAGTTAAAAAAAAATAATAATACTTGTTTTAGGAAAAAGTACCAAAAGGAGGCTTACATGAAACATGCATTGGATAAGCTGCACAGCCACGACTTGACCTCAAAATATTAACCATCTTTGGTCTAAGTATGAAGCATTGAGTCTAGTTTGAGTCCCACCCAAGTCCCACCCATGTTTCAAGAAGCAAAGAAGTCCAAGAAGGGCCACGGCACAATAAAATCCGGCCATTGGAACACTATTGCACAAGGCAAAGGTAAGTATCACTTCCATTCTTACTGTCATTTCTTTTCAACACTATCTCTATCAAATTAAACCACTACATACTTGGATTTCTGATCAAGATCACAAGTACATATGGTTTCACGATCAAGTCTTTGATTGGGAAGTTCAAACTATTTTGAACAACTCAATCATTGACAGAGTTTAACAAAAAGTTACTAGTGTTTTTCAGATAAAATATGACAGGAGAACCGGTTCAAAATAACATACAAGCATGGCGCGCAAAGGAGCCACAACCGGCCAAAGGAGGATTTACATGCCAAACATGCACGATGAGGGAAATCCAACCACAATTCAATCCAGGAGGGATAGAAAAACAGTTCGGTCAGAGAAGAACTCAATTGGCCCGAGTAAATAAGGAGATATCAACATCACAACCACTCTCTCGACCAGAATCGACGAACCAAGCGACAATGCTCGACCATCTCCCAAACGGCACGACCGAAGTCCACCAAACATCACAGGCGACCTCAAAACATCATTTTGGTCGG